TGTTTCGAGTTGCGTACTTATGAATCTGAGTCAGTCCAAAAAACTCCTGATAATATATATATATATATATATATATATATATATATATATATATATATATATATATATATATATATATATATATATATATATATATATATATATATATATATATATATATATATATATATATATATATTTTGAGTAGATATACATTCGGAGGAACACATATTTATTATAGGGAATTTTTGGAGATTATAGAATTTTCATAGCTTAAACTACGAACTGATTTTAATTAGACCTTTACTGGAAATATGGAACCATTAGATGACCATTTCGTCCTAGTATGAGATTGCTGATCAATGAGCAACCACGACTCTGCATCCTAGAACCGAAACAAAGACATTAGTTCTCGCACGCAAACACTTAACCTCTAAACCATTGTGCCGGCATTCAACACTGATAATGGCTAAATTCAATCAATTCACGATATTGTGCAATCCTCATCCATCGCCTGTGATGGATATTTATCTCATAATCGAGATGTTTGAACTCTACTGGTCACGAATTCTCACCAGAAGGTTAAGTGTTCGCGCGCGGAACCGAAATCCCTGGGCCAGATTCCAGAGTGCGGGGTTGTGGTGGTTTAACTAAAGTTAGTTCGTGGTTCAAAATGGGAAAACACATATTTGATATTTTTATCGGTTATCTCAATACATAAAACTGAGATTTCACCATGTCAAGTTGTGTGCTGGCCTATTATCAACAAGATTATTTCTCGATTTTTGACCCCAAAGATAATGATTACTAATCACACTATCAGGTAGGATAATAACAACTGAAGGTCTTGATACACTTTCATTTCAACATCAATTCATTGAAATCTAATTATTTTAATAATTATGTAAGAAGATTACTGAAATAGCCCATTTTTATCTGTCTTGTCAGTATATATCCGCTAACATTGTCTTTACGTAAGAGCAATGAAACGACTTGAAATCAAACATTAAAGGTTATATTCAAAAGAAAGTTATCTGGTTTATGTATTAACTTCATGCTCAATTAAGTAAGTTTGACTTTAAATCCTCAATCAGTTACCTTTCTATTGTCTCATTCAAGTAGATTTTGTTCGTAACAATAAAATAAGACTAAGTTGGATAGATAGCTGTGATGGTTCATATATTCTTTATTCATCTGACAACTGTTTATACATGAAATAAAGAGTACATTTAGCCGCTAGCTAACATCTTTTCAGTCCAGATAGTAGAATATTGAAATAGTTGTTTAAAGGCTAATTAAGTGGAGTTCAACTACCATCAAGGATATATATTAGTTTACCTTTAACGATATACACATTACTATTTGTTTGTCTTCTATTTAAAATACTTTCTAGGTAACGATGATTCACATGATCGTTCAATATGCAGTAGTAATAGTAGTAGTAATGGTATGAATAATCAAAATCTCCCATCAACAGAAAGATGCGAAAAACAAATTAGTGAGATTGTACAAATTAAAGCAACTACTGATGAATCAAATATTGTAATTCATAAAAACATTATATCAGACAGTAAGTTACCTTTTTTATTTCTATTATATCATTTACTGTTTTGAAATATAAACAAATAGGAAAAAAAACAACTTAATATCAGCTTCTTACTATATGACAGACATTATGTAATTTGGGATAGAGATGTATATCAGTTGAAATGTTAGATCCAACTAACCTTGATTTATCTAACTGGAATTTCTAGTTTTTTTTCTGAAATTGAAGTAGATAAATAAAATGATGAGATCTACTATTGGAATGAATGAGTTGGACAATCATATTTAACTATTATTATTCTCATCATCGGGCTTTAACAGCTAACTCAAAAAAGAACTGTACACTAAGAAATGATTTCATTTGTCTTAAACTGTTTGTTAATTCTGATAATGCTAAAATGAACTGTTAGCAAACCATACAGCGCCCAAAAGTATTCTAATTTGACCAGCTAGATTTTCTGTAGAGTATTCATGACTACTAGAAATGCTGATTTTTCAATAGTATCTTGCCCTAAAACTCTGGATAATTCACATAATTTGGGAAATTTAATTTGTTTTTCTTGTCTTGTTTAGCACCAACTAATATCAGTACAAGTTCACCAAAACCATGTCTATCCAGATCCTCATCGTTGTGTTACAATAAACTCAATGATCCAATATACGTGCAACGGGCTTTGAATAGTATGGCTAGTGGTAATGCTAATAGTTGTCAATCTACTCAAATAATAAACAATTCATTGACGAATAGATGTGATGATAATCCCACTAGTAGTGGTACCGTTGGATTGAATAATTCTAAATATTTTAACAACCCTACTTATATCCAACATACAGGAAAATCTTTCGAGTAAGTGATCTGTTAAAGTATGACAAAATTAACTAAGTGATGGTCAAATATTCGGCTCAAATATACTTTATTTGGTCATAGTTAAATAGCAGTCTGTTAGGCCATTTAACTGGAAAATAGCATGAGAGGAACATTTGAGCAGCATATCTTTTCATCCTTAATTGTTAGCATTTTTTGTAGAGAATGAATCCGTATTCCTCAAATTGACCTTTTGATGAAGGGAAATTTAGTGAGAAATGAATAGCCAAATAAATTTTCGTCTGTAGTTTTATATCACAGATTGAGCTTAATTAATAAAATCAACGATTATTAGACAACTATTTCGTTCTATTATGTAACCCCAGTGGTTTGCAGGTAAAAAAATCGCACCGAGGTTTGATAGTTCTAGTTTCGATGTGTAGTGGGACCGTGGATGTGCTGCAAGGAGTGTCTTACTAGGACAAAAAAGCTGCCCACGACTTCAGGCTTGTCTAAGATCAACAAGTGATATAAAACTACCAAATCTAACAATTTATGCAAACTCCTAAACTAAAAATTCTTAATATTATAGAAACAGATGGTAGAAAAATTCTGGAGTTAATTGCATGTGTGAATATTATTTTCTGTTAAAATTAAGTACCTTGACTGGTGTCAGTCACCCTAGTCTGAAACATATTGTTTGCTTTATTAATTTATCTTAGAAACGTAATACTTTGATTATTCCATAAGGTTATTTGTTGACAACTTACCGAATAACAATTGTTTTTTTTGGGTGCCGAGATCAAATTTTGTCGATAAGCTGGGTGGCTTAATATTATAGTTCATTGTATTTATTTTTAAATGAATAGAATCTTGGACATAAATCACATGCGTATACAGTCTCCAAGGCACTTCCGCTTCCATGGCGACTTTAACCAGTATCGGCCAGACATGATACTTCTATGATAAATAAATTGAGACTGTTTTGCAGTAGATCAAGTACACATCAGTTATTCCTAAATTACAACCATTATTACAGCAGTGTCTAATATTTAGTGTTGATCGAATTTTATGCTTCGTCATGCAGTGGGAAATAAGAAATGTAACAATAATTATTATACAAAAACTAATCTAATTTGACTGAAAGTATCTTATTAAACCTTTTTATTGCTTTCAGGTTAAATACAAGTTCAAAATCCGAAAACAATCAAAAATCTATGCCATCAACGAATAGTAGTTATAATATAAACAGTATGGCTAGTAATTGTACTGAGTCCATCCCAATATTCGACCATCATAGGACATCGAATATGAGTAAATCCGCTTTATTACGAGAACAATTCTTCAGTTCTATGATGAGTGGAGCTGATCGTAATCAACAAACGCAACAACACCAGTCTTTAGAATCTTCTTCGGAGTTGCCTAGGGAACCGAAAGTTCCACTGCAATACAGAGATTTGTGATTTATATTAGGAATAAAACATTCTATGTACATCATTTATTTACTCCATTTTTACTTTTTCATAATACATTTGTGAATATCCACACATAGTATATAAAAAGTTATTTCTTATTATCTAGTAACTATATATTTTTTATAATATAGCTGTGCACAGTGTTTTTCTCTTTTTGAGTATTTAATTGCACACTTCTTTGATCTCACTCTAATGAACATAGATACACGACTCATGTCTTCCTTTCGCACTGTTCGTAATGCAAGGACAGTCATTATGACTGGTTTCGTTTTAAATCTTGTTTAAAAATGCGTGGTGCGAATTTTGAAATTTCTTACAATAGACTGAAATTTGAAACCTTTTTTTTTAAAGAATAGTGCATAAATCACTTTATTATTATATTTGAATGCACTTGAAATCATATTATCCACAGAATTTCCATGTACAGTTAATTAATTATTATTACTTTTGTTTAATATAAAGGATATTATATACTTACATAAATATTTACACGCTTTTGTTCAATATCCACCTTAATAATCATGGAAATTTTTGTGCTTCAAGTCTGAAGATACATTTTGAGTAATTGTTATATAATCAAGTACAAACGAACAAACATAGCACTTAGATCAGTACATATTTTGTGGTTACAGATAGAATCGTGTTGTCTAAACCAAGATAGATAAAGTCTACTGAGATTATGATTTCAGTTGGTTGAGAATCAAATTCTAATACCATCAAGCCATACCTCTGCACATTTATTAATCTGTACAAATAAATGATACTACTTGTTTGAAATAATTAAAACGATAGCGTTGCACTAATGTAAGTAAAGTGAAACACAATGAAGATGGTAGTGATAAAATGTTTTAACTTATCAGAGTAGTATGTCTTGTTACATAGTTTACTTGAATTCTTAAACTCCTAGATACGTAGGGTTACATATGTTCATAACACAAAAATATTGCCATCAAAATTCATTAAAGCTACATGAATATTTTTCTCACTGAATCTAACGTAAAACCAATGTTACAGTTCTTCAAAAATTTCAGTAATATTAATAGAATACTACCTGGTGCTCATGTAAAAGTTCATGAATGATTCCTTGATTTATACATATTGTTTAGAGGTGAACTCTGAAGTGGTTTTAAATTCATGAATTAACAATTTAAATTCAACTTCTTTGATATCAACTAAACTATAGTAACAAACAATAGTAGAGAACACTAATAATGAAAATGTATTTATACACTTTACAATTAGATTTGGTAAACTTTGTACAAAATATTTGTTTGTATAAAATAGTAACATTGGTGAGATAATCCAGTATGATGGATAGAAGTTCATTTTAAACTGCTAGCCATACTACTTGTAAGCGGAGGGAATGGTTGCAATTTGCTAACAACTAATTTATGTTGTTGATGTGCCAGATAACCTTTGATTTTTCCCTACAAACAAGAAAAAATAATGTACAAAATGGTGTGTTTTAGCGTTGACTATTTAAGGTTATTTGGAAGAAAGTTCTAAATTTACTTTTCAAACTTAATGTTTAAATTACAAATTAACAATTTAAGTCCGATGGAGTAGACGTTTCTCCTACTTCAGAGTGCATCCAGACTATCACGTAGTGTGGATAACCTTGATAGGCGATTTGTATTGTTGTCGAATTAATCAGTATACATTATTCTTAGAATTTTTCGTCTGACTTTGGATTAGTTAGATAAAACTGCATATAAAGTTGTATTTTTACTAGATAATGATTCTTCACAGTTGTGAGTCAGGTGGTTTCCTTCCAAAAACTGAGTGAGGAAAGAGTTATTGTTGCTGATCTGAGTTATTCTACAAATAATGTCAGTTTTATTGCTAGACTTATCACTAAACAGTATCTGCTATCTTGAACGGACCCATGTTTCTTATTTAAATGTATACACACTACTCAGCTTCGCAGTGAGAGGTGCTATTATGGAAATATTCAGGCCGCTCAAATTACGCGCAACCGATCAATTCAAAATTCTCATTAAATACTAAATTATCAATGTGTTAACATTTCCTAAGTATTATTCATTGTATTAGATGTTAGGGTGTACGATAATTATGAGCAAATCTTAAAATACGATGTTTGCGCCAGTAAGGACCATTTAACCTAGAAGTAGATAATTTTATCAAGTCTAGAACTCAATCAAATGCTATTTGGGTATTCACTTAAGTTTGACTGTGTGATTTGTACGACAGCAGATTTAATTTTGTGATAACAGTATTTTTACATGGCTGAAATGGGAAACCTAATATCCTTGTGAAAGATATTTTTGATAGATGAGTTAACTGATTTGGGAATATAAAACTAGGTATTTTGTACTTAATTGGCCATGTAACTTCTGCTTAGATTTTGGAAATTTGAGAAATAGATGTTTGATTTGAATGTTTTTAAAATTTTGTGACATGAATACAGAAACACTAAAAAAGGGTAGTTCAGATCATAAATCAAAAGCTGTCTTAGCAGTCACAGCAGTCTAGTACTGATCATTGAGTTAGGGATTCGAGATTCATATCGTCTGCTTTAGTTTGCATTATGGACTATCATAAGAAAGGTGTGACTTAAAGCCGAGTATACAAATTTTGGTTACGGAATTATATAACATTTCCTTTTATTCAATGGGATATAGACTATATTTTATTGAGGATAAAGTATGGCTATATTATGGATTTTGTACATAATGATAGCTCTTGATTGTTTCGAAGTTTTCATGTCATTAACCTACATATTTCTTGGAGTATGTTAGGTATCTGAGTGGTTAATATCATTTTAGGAGACCAATAAGATTAACTGAGTAGTGACTAACGTTATGTTTTTCTAGTCCTTTTGGTGCTGAGTAAATTCCATCGATAGCAATGTGACCACTAGCCTAGGTGACTGGATATCGTGTACACTATGCTGAGGTATTAGTTGGTTGGATGTAGTCACCAGGAAACACCGACCTAGGGTTTGTGTTATTTAACACTTATTACTAAGGTATATCTGTAATATCGAAGGGGCTGATACCCTCTAGCAGATTTGATTCCGTGTCACCCATATTATAACCCAATCGATAAAATTCGATCAGCGTTAAAAGAACTAAACAAACATGGCATTGTCCACTACTCAGTGATCAATCGGTCTCAAATATCTCAGCCCTACAGGAGGTCAGTCGCAGCCCGAATACCTCAGTGGTAATGTCTCAGACTAGGAAGCTGAATGACATATGGTCGCACCTATTGGGAAGCACCTGTTTTTTGAAGATTACGGGTACACCATGGTGATAAGTACCAAATAGCACGAAGCTTTGGTTTAGAATTCCCAGTCGACTACTTCCTAACACCTAACAGATTAGAGCTTAATTATTTATCCAATAACTTCAAAAGTAGTAGGAAATTATTCTGAAGACAAAGATTTCATTGTTAGACGATTGAAATATGCCAGCAAAAGATCATTATCATCATTTAAATATTGTCATATGATTTCGTCACATGTAAGGTTTAGTGTAGATGAAAGTTTAGCTCCCACTCATATTGACTCTGTGGATGGAGATGAAATGAAACATTCCCATTAGCAAGCACAGTTCTTGGTCCACCAGGGTTCTTGGTACCTGTGTGGTTGCGCCACGGGATTGAGCTGTACTGTTCAGATTGTAGCGTTAAAGCCTGTACGGTGTCTGGTTCCCCTGCTAAACGGGGTTGAGCTGTACTGTTTGGGTTTTTACGTGAAGGTCCGGATGGTGTCTGGTTCTCCTGAAAACCAATGTAAAATTACCCTGGCCCACAAGGGTATATTATATTACTGTGAACTGCCCCCAAATGCCCTGGTACGGCCGAGAGTGAGGAGAGTCCACTCTCCCTCTCGAAATACTCTCACACGGCCACGCGTATATAGCCTCTGCCAGGGAAGTCCTACTCACTGCCTTCTCGTGGCGGGGGTGTTGTTTACGAAAATGAGAGGACGAAAAGCGAATGTCCGGCGCTTTAACCGGATTCCAAACCAATGGTGCACATGGGCTCCAGTATCCTGCGGGAACAAATGGCGAATGAACCAATTGTTGGTCACCGGCTTCCATGGGACTGCATCTCCTCACGATGCTCCACTGCCTTGTGGATCAGACCTTCAGGTCGAAGGCTCGGGGTGTGGCCCCCTAAGAAAACCACCTGCTTCGGTTTGGGCACCCGGGCAGTATCACAGCCCTCACACATATCGAATGAGATTTGTGTGGCGCATATGTATTTGGTGCCTCTTTGTACCATTATCTATGTGTTGAAATAAATAAATAAATAACAGTTCTTAATTATACGCATGAATTTTGCTTCGAAAACCTCGTTTGAAGTGATTATATATTAAACAAGATGAAAGAAGTCAAATTATGATATTATATGCTACTTACTTCATGAATGAGATTGGCCAGAATACACTCCGTTTCGTCTGGATCTATATCTTCAACCTGTTCAAACAAGAAATTGTTACACAGTAAGTAGATTTGAACTAATCAGACTTCTGAAAAGATCATGAAAGTTTGATAGATTCAATAACGTAACTAAAGTAACGGAACCGATCCTTGGATCCTAACGGCAAAGATTTCAAATGATAGAACTGACTGAGAATGTATGAGCATATATTAAAAGGATTTAAGCTGACACTTATGCTTAAAATATTTAATCACGATAGTCTGTTGCTCATAGAACGACGAATGATTAACCAAGGATATATATATATATAATGACTGTTCACTTGTGTTTATCACAGTGAAACGATTTTCTGAAATAATTGTTCAGTGAATAATAATATTAGTGTGTCAAGTTAAATTCGTCAATTCGACGTTTTGCTGTACAATAAAGCTATTTAGTGACGAAGTGATTAGTTTCGACTTTAAAATTAACCTTTTTATAGAAGATGCAACACTCATATTAAATATATTATGCACTTATTTGAAAGTTTCTGAACAAATTGTTAAGTAAACGTCTAGTTTGAGGACTTTATAAAGTCTATGTAATTTTAAAACAAGATGTCATATGAATTAGAAACATGTAAATTGTTTATGGTATAATGTAAGTTGGAATATAGCTACTGACATACTAAATACGAATTAACAGAAATGAATAAATCACGTCAGTGAAATTAACAAGTTTTTTCTTTGGTTATCATTTAAGAAGAGTAGATATTTTCAACGGACCAAGTAATTATGGTTGGGAACCTTAGCATCAACATAGTCATATTAACATTGAAAAAAATTTTCCACCAGCTGATATGAATGAAAACGGCACTTGATAAATATACTAATATCAGATTAGACAGTGCGATACACTTTTTGATCACTTCCAGGATGAAATACATTACTTTTCATTTTTAGGAGAAACGTAGTCGCTACACGATTGAAATCTAACAACTGATATTTATTTAGTTTTAGAGCGAAATGAATAATCAGTAATAAGTGTTTATCAGTGAATTATTTTAGAGACCTTATTTACGTGAATTACCAATAAGGTAACATGAAAAAGGAATAGTCACAGATGATAAGTTGAGAGATGGATGCATGTATTATATAGGTAAGTAGTAGGAAATTATTGGTAATCGATATCTACTAACTGATTTAAATTAAGTTTATCTACTCTGAAGATCTTGAGGAAAAAGAAGGTCCATTTTAGAAACCATTTAGCAAATATATTCTATGAATAAACTGGAAATCAGAAAGAAACACAATTCAATACTTTTCTAATGGATACCTTTGTATGATGAAAATAGTCTTCGACATAGCTAGATTTCCAACAAGAACTGGCTAGGTTAGAAGTAAACATACTAGACTATTGTTATTTGATGAGGTGAAAATTTGTCCATTCTAGATTTTATTTATGCTGAAACACAATTTGGCGTTGTACTAATCAATATTAAATCATTTTACTCATATTGCCACTGTAATTTTAAATTTATAAAAAATGTACATGAAAAGTAGTAGTTTAACTGGATTATTCATCTTCACAATTACAGATCGGGTGTTGTCTTTTGATATTCTCATGGTTTAATAAGACAAAATATTCAAGCGAGTTATCATATTGGCTGTGTCTTTGTATGTTTTTAAGTGAAATTTATCCGTATTACCAGACCAATACATTCGGTTATATCAATACCTTTTCCTCAAGAAAAACTATGGACAACAGTCAAAAACACATAAGTTACAGGCAGTAGAAAAGAAAAACTTACTCCCATTAAATGTAGTGCAGCTGTAAACACTTCAATCGGTAGTAGATGTGTCTTCATAATATGACAACTATAAAATTGAATGAGAGAACAGAAAAGCAACAGAAGAGATGGAAACTGAAAAATTCATAACAAAAATAAAAAAAGAAGAGCGAAAAAAAACTTACACTCGTTTAAATAAACTTCGATAAACAGTCAACTTGAGCTTTTCCAATATCAGATATACACCACAAGATAGGAAAAAGGCTTCGTGCTCTTCTAAGGCAGAGTCCATTTTACGTAAATTTCCTGTTCTATAGAGTAATAAAATAAAACATTAATGCATGAGTTTTTTGTCCAAATCTACTTGACCGAATCAGCAATGTCTTGGAATTGTTTCAAATTATATTTACATAAAAGACTTTCTTTGGGTAGTACTCCCTAAACAGAGAAGAAAAAAAAAATTTTTTTAATTCAGTCATATGTGTAATAAAATAAAAATGCTATGATTACTTTGATTATTATATACAAAAGACTAATCACTGAATAGTGGTAATGCTGTGAGTTTAAAACGTTAAGATTTACTGACCATTGGTTTCAATCGAACCGTTAAACTAAGTGATATGGTCATTTAGTGTATTTGCTTTATATATAAGTTTTTAATGCTGGACCTCTAACAAAAATAATCTAGCCCAAAAAGAGACCTCTTGAAGACAAATCGACCAAGTAATTGATTAGTTTTTTAACTTCAGCATTGAACGATGAAGTGAGGCAGTGGCTTAATCGTTGAACCATCTTATTTATAGACACTAAGTTGAGGGTTCAAACCCCACTAAACCCATTTCGTTTTACTCAATTGGGTATTATCACTAGCTATCACTCTTACAGTGTGGATGGAAGCCAATTTCACAAAAATTCACCTAGTAAAGAAGATACTCTTTCAGATTTCAGCAAGTATGAGGATAGATATTCGAGTAAGAAAAAAGAAGTAGTAAATAGTAAAAAAACAACTTACTTACCAGTAACATTTTTACAGGAATTAAATAAATCAATATTAAACGTTTGTTATTCCATTTCGTCGTTAAACAACGCTCAAAAGCAAAAGTCAGTGATTTATCGGCTGAAATTTAAACGAAAGCATAAACAAACATTAGAAAGGACATAAAATAATCACGTAACTTATAGTACTGATAAACATGGAGTCGACATAACGTAAGTAGATTAAGGTAAACTTGTTGTATAATAAGATTTAATATCAATGTAACTCGGTAACTCAATTGTAGTTGATGTACTTATATCAAGATAAGATACATAGTCAGTATTTCCTCTGAAATATTTTATATTGTACTACAATCGCATACTATTTAGACTATAAGGTGTGTCATGATGATCTGAACAGAAATAGATTTTGTTTTACGATTTCCCAATGTGACTGTCATCTAACTTAGTACGCAAGTTATAAACTAAATAACTAAGTTCAGTAGAATTTAACACTTCATTGAATTCGTTTATCATAAAATCGTAAATGCAGGTATGTTTCTGATTGCTTTATCTGTTATTAAGGATAACTAATAATTTTTTAAGAGGGTATAAATGATTCGAAAAAATCATTATGACTAGTGTTAGGCTACGATTTGCATTAGTGTCGATAACAACATTAACTTGAGCAGAATTTTTTTTAAGGAAAGTAGGTGTAATTTATATATGTTGAGAACTCAAATAAATTCTCATACAACTTACCGGACACAAAATCACCGTCGAACATTGCTTTTCTTCCAACATAATAACAATACGTTACACGTTGTGCCAGACTAAAATGATCATTCATATTTAAATTATCGATTGCGCGGATCATAGATTTGCATAAATTCAGTTTGTTAATCTAAATAATAATTTGTAGGGATAAAATAAAGTGTTCTCTCGTTTCATTTGTCAAATATTATGCATACCTGGAAGTAAATTTTAAACAGTTGATTGGCTAAACCCATCATACCCAGTTTTTTCGAATCTTCAACTTGTGCACGACTACAATAAGAATTCAACAAGAGAGTCAGGTATATAGAGGCAACATGGTGTTACAAAAAGTAGAGAAAAAGAAACTAAACTTAATTTTGATATCAAGTAATTGGAGACTATTAGCAGAAAACAATGGACTTAGAGTTCGTGCCAGTTGACGTGGGTTAAACTCCGAAAACAGGGATCAGTCCTTTGGACAAACTACAGACAAAAGTGGATAAGGCCTAAATCCAGAGCACCCTACAGACTGTGTATAGCCACTTAGTATCTAGACAGTGCACAAGATATCGAATCACTTAAATTAGTGGCCACAAAGCAACAGAAACAGTATACAACCAGAACTAGGAACTAGACGATATAGTATCAGTCGCTAACCAATACTCAATAATTGCTACTGAAAAATATAATATTTACAGTTCACTGAAGTACGCAGCTACATGTATCAGGTTCTGGATCAAGAACTAATGTGGATTATGATGCAAATTTATTATGTATACAAGATAACTAAGTAGTTTCGGAAAAGAATTACATAGTTTCTTCATAAATATAATACAACTAAAAGCCTAGAAAGACAACGTATGACAACTTCATACAATCTTAAATTATGACCCCACAACGATAGTGTAAAATCGACGGGTATTTTGCGAAACTTTTGAGAATGAAAGACTAACGCTGCAAGTTTCGCGACATCATATTCAATATTTAACGCTCAATTCAAAAAATTTAAAACATGGATTTTAAAAAGTTTTTGATCTAGGTCCAACTTCCCTGGAATATTGTATTTCTGAACAGAGACATGTCACGATTATCAACTAACGTCGCCCATCTATATCCATTTTCTGTCCAACCTGGGGTTTTCAATTGGTACTAAATTCTATCTTTTAATTGTTTATTTCCTATCCAATAGTCTTACTAAATTTAACATTTGTTTTATAAATTTAGATTTGAATCTTTCTAGCATTATTTATATGAAATAAAACCAATGATCGAGGAGAGGACTTGACAATTTCTCCTCATACTATGAAAACCCATTTAAACTAAATTATAGTTCATATTGGTAAAATACTTACCTATCGCTTGCACATATTTGAAATAGCCTTAAAATAAGTTGAGCAGCATTTTCCATCCTTCTTCCTTGATTTCGAAAACTATCCGATTGTGGTGTGAACCTTGAGTCCAAACCGTGAGCGAACCTTCTTAAATCAATAGCAGCTGCATGTACAACAGGTAAAATCCAGTTGTCATCTTTTAATTCAGAGAGTGCTTTGGCAACAGTCGTTTATTCAGAGATTCGCGAAATGTTATCAATATCAAAAATTAAGGTGAAAGCAATCCGTTAAAAGAACTGAATAAATAAACTATTTCTACGAATTATTAAGAATAGATTGTTTGAAACTATTTTATCCACTTTTTAACTTATTAATGCGTAAGAAAATAGCTTTTTTTCTCTAAATTAGACCCAACTCCTTTTTGGAGAGGAATAATTAACATAATTTCCCAACCATATTTCACACAGTAAAAATGAAACAATCATGCTGCTGTATTTTCCTTTGTTCATGATTGTTTATCACACTGATTTGTTTAAATAGGTAAATATTGGTGTAGATAAACACCGGAATAAATATGGATCATATAACAAGAGAATGAGATTCTGAAGAGACAGAGGAAGGACGGTGAGTATTATTTTTAAGAAATGGATAAAAATAAGTCAACGAGAGTGGTATATAGTGCGAAAACCAGTTTCGTTAATGAAAATGCAACCGGAAAAAGCCCTTCTAATTGCGGAAGTTTCTTTCATTTTGGAAAAACAGTAAAAAATTACAGCATGATCGACACTGACTTCCATTCTGAGCCATGTTTGATAACGTCTCAGATCACTGAATTGCCCTTTCTCTCGGACCCAAACAGATCCACTTTAAATCCTTCTTACGTAATTGGAAACAAGAAATAATCTGTACAAAATACACCAGACCGAGTGTAGAAGTAGGAACACAAGAGTTTAGATAATAATTGCACATATTCATTGTTGGAAGATTAATCACTTACTAATAAAAAGAATAAATAAGCTGGCTCATATCATTCGCCAAACATGTGTAGCTATTCTGTTAGGAATCATTTCTAAGACATTCAAAGATAAATAAAATAGACTATGGAATAAATACACGAGAGGTGGTGATAAAACTACTCTACCTAAGCCTCATCGAGTGGATTTTATTGCAAGCAGAAGATTGATTGGTTAAAGGCCAAATACTCAAATCGATGAGCTCAGCTTCCATAGTTCTCAGTGAATTATAACACAACCCAAGGATTAGTGCGCATCGAGTGTAAACATCTGTTATGTATACGATAGAATTAAGTAAGAAAAAGGTTGGAACTTGCTAAACACACGTAGTTTAGTGAAATAAATTATCATCTACTCATTTATCTCATTAGTTCCTAGATATTCAAAAGAGTATAATAAATAGGATTTGAGGCTGTGATCTACTGGATTAAGTTTAATTATCAAGATTGTTAAGCTACAGGTTAATAAATAATTTTTAAAGGATATTTTACTAATACTATTTGACAAGCATAGGCTTCTTCGAAATCACGGTTACGCATTGCCCATATACATCTGAAAATTATTGTTTTACAAGTTACGCGGTTAGTTATTTTATTTTACCTCACATGAGCAGAAACTATCTCATCCCAAGGTGATACAAGGTACGACACAGCAATATTTTCTGGGTCTGGCACTGCTAGACGAGAATTATATACATGAGGATCACTACACATAAGGTAGTGCTAGTTTATATGTGCATAAAATAATAAATTCCTGTTTTAAAAACTTACACTCAATCCTCTACCGTTTCGATTGTTGATACAATTAGTAACCTGGAAAAGTTTTTAGTTAATTCACTGCCGGATAACTTACATCTTGCAGATACATTTGAAGGGTAACAGGAGCCATTATTAGAGGGATAGTTAATAGTTTAAAAAATGAATCTAAAAGGAATTAAAAAACTGATAGTGACTAATGCACTAAAAAATCCACACATTATAAAATAAACTGATTAAAATACAATTCGAAATAATTTAGAAAATATTGAACAATAGTAGAGTTTGTGTAATTATAATTTATTGTAATAACGAGAAGTGCAATAAAACACTCATGCAGAAACAGGCATTACTATTCTCTGAAGAAGCGACTTACACTAAGTCATGAAACGTCGGAAAATCTAATTTTCTACTCATTGAGATATTAAAAATATATTATTTATTTATTACTACTAAGCATTGTGAAATACACAATACAACGACCGGTGACAAAATAGAAACTGAGGATCCAGTGTAATATCAACATATATGTTGCAGAGATTGATTTCGATCAATTTCTTATGACTTATCTTTCATTCATGATAAACCAAAAATCGGACATACTGATGTTTAGTGAAGGCATACATGCTTTTTATTACAGAATAGCGTTTGCAAATTCTATGAACTTGGTTAGTCCATGACTTCGACATTTTTCCAGAATTATCAGGATACCACTACCTAAGAAGTGATAGACATAGATGTAGGAAAGGAGGTGGCGTCCTTTCATACGTAGCCAATAATATAAATATTTGCCCCTTTTGCCTGCGAATCCCATGATAGTGGAACTTATGAAGTCATTATCTGTGAGCTCACTATCAGATGATGTACATTCATATTCGGTGTCATCTTTCGTAACCCAATCTACTTACCTGATGACTTTATTTTAGATCGCATCTAGCTGAGTGCAAATAACAGATGCTTGATATTAGGAGGCTTTATTGCACCTGATATTAGTTGGACTGATATGGTCAAAGTAGGATCTATAAACCTTAGTAGCAGGTTATTGATAACGGTGATGGAGCATACATTAGTACAGGATGTATCCAAACCCATACGTTTTGGTTCAAACCAAGGTTCTTCTTTGTTCGACTCGGTAACCACTCATACGACTGAAGATATTGCCAATCTAGATATTCTTCCACAGTTAGCGAATAGCGATCACGCTGTTTCATCACTCATATTTAGGGCTAGTGACATGATATACGGTCAGGTTAAGCCTCGCCCAAATGTATGGAGAACTAACATATCAGCCATTCAGGAGTGTGCTACTAATACAGATTGGTCGGTAGATACTAGCTCATCAGTTAAAGCATGGTCTATATTTAAAGGCGAGCCTAGTTCAGTTACGTCCTCGTTTATATCATGCCTAGTACCACATAAACCGAATAACTGTCCACCATGGATAACTAAAAAAGTCAAGAAGCTTCTTAGACGTAGGAAAACGTACTGGAATATATTCACCTCTATTGGCTTAGAACAATACAGATTCAGTTACTGCAAGACTTGGAATGCTTGTAAAGCGTTGATAAGTAAGACTCGACAGTTATATGAAGAACAATTGGTTAGGGATTGTAAAAATAGTTAGGTACGGTTATTTTCGTATGTAAAGAGGCGAACTTAGAGAAGAGATGGATTCCATCACTTTTGGTACAAGAAGATCCGTTGATATTGGCAAGAGATGATGCCGAAAAAGCTTAAGCTTTACCGAAATATTTTGGTAAAGTAGTTTCTATCAGCAATGAGGAACGACCAACGACTACTTGTGACTGGCGGTTTGTTGATAGATCCTATAGTTATTGAGCAAGGTGTTGTCTTAAGACTACTTCAACATCTTAAACCTGATAAGCCCAGTGGTCCTGACGATATTCAACTTGGGATTATGAAAGCCCTATCGGATCTAATTGCTGAACCTATAGCCATAATGTTTGATATGTCTCTGACGCAGTCCACACTGCCAAGAGACTGGAAAGACGCAATAATTAATTACGTGCATAAGACAGGGAGCAGAGAGTTAGTTAGTAACTACTGACCCGTTAGTATAACCAGTGAAGTTACCAAACTAATGGAGATTATTCGGATGGCTGTTATAAACTGTGTGGAATGGCATCATCTCTTACCCAGGGAACAACATGGCTTTCGAAAAGGCGTATCATGCTTCAAAATCTGCTCATTGCAAGAGATTGGGCTGCAGCAAAAGACGGAAATATTCCTGCAGATGTAATTTCCATAGATCTAAATAAAGTCTTTGACAAGTTTACCCATTCGGGTCTTAGATTAAAACTAGAAAGCTTTGGAGACCCATACATAGTATGTCAGATAGACTAGTATTACAGGATGATCTAGTGGTGACATGGTCGGGCGGATAGTCACTCGAAGTGGATTCTAACAAGTGTGGTGATGCAATCAAATGATTCGTATCACTACACAATGAGTGAAGTTGCGTTATCCAAAGTAATGAACTATAAAGATTTAGGAGTAGTAATAAGCAGCAACTTCAAAACCACGAGCGACTACAAGGCAGCTTCTACCAAAGGCTTTGGGGTATTATGGGCCATTTGTAGGTCTTTTCAGTACTTGGACGAAATGTTAGTGTTATACCCGACTTTCGTGAGACCACAGGCCCTTCTTTCAATTGTGGGACAGATATACTGGAACGAGTCCAAAGATGAGGGACTAGAACGGTAAGAGGTCTCTCTAGCTTATGAAGACAGACATAAACACCTCAACTTATTTCCGTTATCTTAAAGTAGATTACGGGACTGATATAATATTGGCTTATCGTATACTGAAAGATGACTTTGGTATTAATGTCTTATCTTTCCCTTCCGTCTAGGACTGATCATTTGAGAAGACATTCTAAGGAAGCTCGAAAACCGAGATCAAATCAATTACGTCTGTAGTTTTGTTTCTCACAATGAGTAGTGAATTACTGGAATCCTCTACCAGAGTACGTAATATCAGCACGTTTTGATGATATATTGAAAACGAGATTGAACCTTCAATGTTAAAACGGCAAGCACTAATATAGGTCGATAGACCTAACCTTATTACTGAAGATGTTTCGACTAGTGCAATCATAGTGAACAGCCCTACAAATAACCCATAGGTGAACAGGTTTAAAATGAGTCACGTGCACAACGAACAAATCTGCTCCCAAAATTACATTTTATGCAATTATGAAGAATCTTTTTCAACAAAAAACTTTGATAAGCAGCGAGCAGATATGTGTAAACAAAAATAAGACTACATATATCATGCGATGAATAATTTGGAATATGACCTGAATTTATATAATACAATCAGAAACGGTAATTACCACAATAAAAATGTGGAAATCACTACATAAACAACAGTAACGACAAACCTCAAACCCAGCGGCAACTGGTTTTGGATGGAATAGAAGAAGCTTTCTCATTGGATCACTAATACCTCCAAGCAGGAACCTAGGTATATTATCGATAAAAAGGGAGAAAAAAAGAAGTTGGTAAATCAGAATGACATACTATCGTTAGTCCCTGAGAATGTCAAGTTTCCTCTTAAATGACTCCTAAGAAGTCGATTGAACCAGCTCAGCCTGCTGCAAATCCGAGCATTTGACTGCTCTTAAGGAGTAGGAGGTATGTATACAGTTCTTTCCGCTGCGTTGTCTCCGGTTTCTGGGTGTTACCCCTAATGTTTGTATTGGGGCTAAGCTGTAAACTAATAAAATCACTTCTAAAACGTCTGTACTCTAATGGGTAAAGGTTCATTGATTAGAGGGGCTCTTCATAAGGCTTGAATTTGGGTTCCCGAACTGAATTCGTGGCTCGCTGTTGGATAGTTCTAGATTATGCCTATAATTTTGGAGTGAGGGAGGAAATGCTATATTTCAGTACTCTAAATGAGGACGAATAAAACTGTTGAAGATTATATGGAAAGTTCGTTCATCGAACTGGCTTTAACGTTACAAGTTCAGGGTTTGCTAGAAGGCATTTTGGTCGCAGTCAACGTAGAACTTCAAATCATAGGTACCAACACTCCTAGGTCTTTTTCATCAGTACAGAAGAATGGACCATATTCGGACTAGATGTGTCTTTTTTAAGTGTTGCAGCTTCCAGTACCCCGAATCACTGCACAGGTTCACTTCTGAAAGTCCCGTGAAGTTGTAGATGAAGTTTTCATCAACATAGCTGGTGTGGGTTAGTTGAACTGTCGTTGTTCGTCGGGCCATTAGGACCGATAGTTGGGAAACTCCAGTTCTGGTTTATCGAATAGAGGTTGCATGATGGAATAAGCTTATAGAATTGAGACGAAAGTCTCCAAGGCGTTGCACAGGCTCTTTCAACTAGGTACTGAAGGGACCATCAAGCTCATAAAAGAGCTATTTTGTTGGTCTGATATGATTAAATATATGAGGGAGTAGACAGGCACTTGTGTAAACTGTCAGAAGTCTAGGGTGAATAGAAACAATAAATATACCTTATGCCTTCTCAAAACACCCAACGTTTCGACTATGTTCATCTTTATTTGGTAAGGCCCTCACTGCATTAAAACTGATCCTCTTACCTCGAAACCTATATAGACCGTTTCACACAACGGTGTGAAGCAGTATCTATCACACTGTTTCATGCTATTTTACTGTCTATAGAGTGCGTAATGCTAATCAACGATCTCTACGTACGTGTATTTGCCACTATATAACAAGAGAAACCCCTTGCCTGAAGACAATGGTTTATGGCTGACCAGTCTCTGTTGATTGCTACGGAATAGGATTAGCGCTAGGACGAACTTTCACATCGTTGGAATCAAGCAGCCTTTAATAATCATATACTGGACCACTCCTTGACATCGATTTCAATCAAACAAGACCTTATTACCAATGGTCCAGCAACATACAACAGTAAAAGTAAGTAATGGGAAGCAAATCTTTAACCAAGGTCATAAAATAAAAACTCAGACAAGGGATACTGAAGAACATAAAGTGTGGCTAAAAGAGACCTGACTAAAGATTAAAATGCAATACAGAGAAAATGAACAAATAAATACTACCTAATAAAATGCTTTGGAGGAATTTTCAGTGTATTCTTTCCAGTACAGTGATCAAATCGGAAGATAACACAACTTCTAATTCTATGATTCGAAGGTGAACAAGAACTGTTGGCAAGAGTCTTGAAGACAACTGTAACATCTCCAAATATATTTGACTTACTCTGAAGCAAAATATCCGAGAAACTAGACCTGTTCACACAGTGAATTAAGGTGCTGTTAGTTTATAAAATATCAAATGGTCCTAAATAGTATCTTTATTCCAACTGAGAGAACTAAGTGGGTACAATCAAAAAAACCAAATGTCAAAAACAAGCAGAACCTCTGCGATGTGCCGAATTTTTTTCAATTTGGATTCAACTACAGGAAACTGTAATATATAGTGCGCTAACTGACTCACTCAGCAGATCAGACAGATGGAAATCTAAAAATGACTTTCTTGAGCCTTCTCCTAAAGTGAAAATCAAAATCATATAAATGACTTAATGTTTTGAAGCTCACTTTACTGTGTAATGAGGTATGGATTTTTAATCAGAAAACCTGACTTTCAACACATTTATTAATATTCCTTTATGTTAATTTATCTAGCTTAATAATCTTTATTTCCGACTATATCGTACAGTGCACTTCGCAAGGGAAGTGTTTAATTTCTCTGTTGACGGCTCAGATACTGCTCCGTGGAATAAGATTTCCTAAATGTTTACAGCATGACATTTTACAAGTGAATATGTTGTTAAGTTCGGAAGTTCCCTTATATCACAATAACATTTATGGATGGGACTGATATGTAGTGCCTATTCTGTACTCAGAACTATTGATACAAGAACCATTTGAGTTATAAATCCATCAAAACTATGACACTTGAAAGAAGTTAATTATATCTCGTGTTAACATAAAAGTTCGAATCTCCAATCGAGTTATTATGTGTAGTAGCACCTTGTATAGACAACCGTGACGTTGCATTAGATCAGCACCACACCACACGAGGAGTTTTCTAGATTGTAGATAGACCAATCATTCCACTAATTTTAGGTTATTATTCATGCATATTTGACCTTGTCAGTTACTCGTTTGTAACCTTGATTGTTTTTATACGAGCTCTATGTTACTGACACACCTCGTTCCTCTCCTGTCTGTCTGCGGTAACCGATAGACGCGGTATGTGTCTAAACATCACCCAGAAATTAGACTTGTTTTATTCCACATTTCACTAACGCAAATTAACCCGACAAATATTTACGAGATTAAGTGGAATATGTGTTTCGTTAACATCGTCCGATCACATAGACAGTATGTACGGGGACTAAGTCCATTAGTATATTTCACTGCATTTTTCTTGATAGCAGAGGGCTACAAAGTCTGTCGGTAGAGATTACAACTGTTCGATATTACCTTATTTCATTATAAACAAATACCAACTTGAGCTTCAGGCATACTTAAATAATATGATTAACCGGTTTAAAGAGTGGCTGATGCCTATCGACGCGGCAGTGTGTCTACATGCACTTTGGGGATTCAAGAGTTAATACGTACAACATAATGGGAAGTGCCATTACCCGTGGTCCAGTCTCATAAGGATCTAGGGGTGGCAGTGAGTCATGATCTTAAGACGACGGCCCATCGCCGGAAGGTCGCACCTAAGGGGTTTCGAATCCTCTGGACTTCAACACAGAATACACATCCTTAGTGAGAACTAAGCCTGAGAACTGCGTTCATGCTGCAGGCCCCTGTTTAAAAGATGACTCGGACATCCTAGAAGTACAGAGGGCAAATACCCGCACAATCCCAGAACTCCGGGGTTTACCATACAAAGAGCGGCTTGAAAAGTTGGACCTTTTTACTCTGTCCTCTCGCAGATTAAGGGGAGATCAATTTTGATGTACAGAATGCTGAGGAATGACTTTGGACCTAACTTATTCCCTTTACATCTCGGAGGACATAGCAGGCGAGTAGAAAAGCCAAGGACGAACAAACTACCCGTGGCATACAGGTTTTCACATCGAGTCATCAATATTTGGAATCTGCTGCTCGAAGCAGTGGTGTCCGTGCCCTCAAGTGACACTTTCCAGAGAAGACTAGACACAGAAGCATACTAGAAAAAGAATAACTTAGGCAGTAGGTCTTCTGTCCTTACTAAACAAATCCGAATCTGAGTGCACGGGCATGCGAAAACCTATAACAAACATATCACCCTTCATTTCTTCTAAATTAACAACTCGTTATGATGTCCCCACCTCGCTCAATAGGATCTGTGATGTCTTACCAAACTGTGACTGTGGACAGAATAGAACTAACAGTACTGTAACACCAAGAGGATAGAAAAGACTGAGACACGCGTGAACGTATGGTATTGGAACATGAGGCAATTATGTACCAAACATCTGCTCCGTTGTAACAGGCATAAGTAATCCGCTATTTAGTTAAACATAATATCCTTGCACTCTTGAAAACGAACTCAACATATCATAAGGAAATTTTGTTTACACTAGATTTAGATAGCAACCACCTGTTATATTTGAGTATACATTTAATAATCTCCAAAAAACCTGCGAAATTTCCGTCCAAACTAAATATAATTCGTTAATTGCCGTGCGAAATACAGTGAATGAGGCCTCACGAAATACCTAGTTCACTTTCTGAGCTGAAATCCTTATTTTATTAAAATTAACACTCAACCCTCAGCATCAGTTTGAAGCCATAATCTCGTCCCATGATGTGATCCTTCTGTTTGGTACATTTGAATAACACACTTACTTCCATGTCTGTTTTAGTCCTTATACTCTGAAGTTATAACTAAATTACTCAATGGAGATCAAGACAAAGCATTTCAAGGAATTGATTCTCATTGTCAGAAGATAAGCATTGTGACGCGATGAGAAACCTAGTTAAAGCCTATTGGTTAAGTGTTTTAGGTATAAGAGATATTCGATGTACAGTCACTTAGTCGTTACTACCCCGTGTACACATTTTTTTGCTACACTAGTTTCAAACCGATTCCCATAGTCATGTCTAAGTGTGGAAATATCGTCTCTTGTGATAAAGAAACGAGATGATAAACTGTTTGTTATGAAGCAAGTAAAGTCTGACTACATATAAGAACAAGAAAAATAAAAGCTTAGTTTAAAAAAACAGCACCATACAATCGAAAGTATGTCTATACATTATATACAACAAAAGTGAATGTAATTCGATGTATGAAAATATATTTCCAAAAGATAAAAAAGTGCACAAACATGCCATGACGGTATGTAAAATTTTACATTAGAACAGTGAATAAAAACTATTTAGTCCTTGTCCTATCTCCCAGATAGAAACACCCGTACCTCTGGATAGTATAGCTTGTAGACGTTGTGCTATCGACATCAAGGTAGGATAGAAAGCCAAGTGATCTTGCGATTTTTTATCCCTACAAAAAAGATATAAAGGTATTTACGAAGAAAACTTGAAGTGGAATGAAAGACAAAAACAACGGAAACTAGCATGTGATGGAAAACACCAGGGATTAAATTGAAGTTACAGTACTCTGAAACAATTTAAACGGAAAACGAACAGGTTACCATGAAATAAACATGTTTGTAACATAACAGGGGAAATATTGATTAAATAGCTTCAAATGTTACGCAAAGACATAATTTTTATTGATATTGATTAAGAGCCAAAGTACAGGGTTAAATATTTCAAATTACTGACAATTTTCTACCCTTAATGAACCTTATTTAGAAGGTTGAACCTTCCAACTATTTTAAACTAAAAATCAACGAATGAGAGAACGGGTGCCATACCTCGAAGTGTGATTTGGAATAGAGAGGATTTTCAAAAATTTCAAATATTAAAAGAAATCTTATGAAAAAAGGCGAACTCTGAAGGTTTTTTATCTGGTGAAATAAAAAAAAATGAATGTACTAAACAGGAGCAATTTAAAGACCAATTCAAAGGATACATAGAAATTAAGATAGATAAATGACATTGACAAAACTACATTAGATAAAAAGTCACCAAGTGAAGATGATATCGACTGCTGAATCGGACGTCTCAGACTCCATTTTAGTAATGCTTTACTATCATAAGTTTTTTCCACAAATAATGATGCAATGTTTAGAAAGTTTGAACTCATAGAATATAGGGATGAAAAATTTATAGTATTTTCAGAATGACTATCGTATGGTAATTGTTTCACTGAATTTATTGAGCAAAGAGAAAAAAAATCTTACTTGTAAGAGAAGCTATGTTCAGCCCATTTTTTATCCCATTTAAAATTCGGTTGATACTTCTCAACTATTTCAATAACACTAAACAACAGAATAAAGAAAATACAGTATCAATTTGTGAAATGAACAAAAATTGCTTTAGAAGTTAGTGATATTGAAGTTACCCGAGGTATTTCATTGATAATTATCTTTGCAAAGACACTGAAGAATTGTAAGAATGAGTTTCCCTGATTTTGACTCGAACATTATTGATCTAACTTTACATAATCGGACAAAAAATGATATAGGTGATATAACTAATCAGTACGTGAACTTTACCAACACTGAAGTTAATAATTCTGTCCAAAGAATACTAGGCAATATTAAAACACACCGAGAGAAATGAAACATTCACAGCTCACTTCTCCAAGTACGTTAACTACTATGTATAATTTTGATTTTAAAACATTCTAGGTTGTAGTAGCTGATGACAACTTAGATAAATAAAATAAATTCATGTTATTCTGCTTAAATCCTTATTTACACTTTCTTCAAAATAAATTCGCAGTCGACGCACTAAACTTTAAACTACTCATAATATGTAAGGGTTGGTTAGTTCAATTTATTGAGTCAGAGTGAGTAGGTTGAGGATCAAATTTTTAGATTAAATAGTTAGAAGTAAAGAGCTTAGAACAATGAAACACGGTCCCTTTGATGAATATGATATGAGAAACATTCCTGGATAGCAATAAAATCAATAAACATTTTCAACAAAATGAAGCGAAAAGGAAATTCTTCAGAGGAAAATGTAACACTTACTCATTGCCTTTAATAGGTTCACCGATTAATTTTTTAGGCAAGTAATCAATTCCATAAAAGTTTAAACCCACCAAAATTTGTTTACGCAATTTTGCCTGGTCTAAAGAATTCTTTGGAACCAAACGATTAATGCATTCTTCTACCCAACTCAAAGGACTATTAGGCCCAGGTCTGTTATATAGAGAAAAGCAGCGCAATAATAATTACACAACCAAAATAGAGTCGTGTACACTATAGTTTAAAAATCATCATTAAACGTACGACCTACCAGGAAGAAGTGAAACAAAATAATTATACACGTTATATATATAGCAACCAAGCGAAATGAACAGTCAGATAGTAACAACACATCGGTTAGTTTGATTAGAATAAAAAACAGTAATACTGTATTATAAGAACATTATATCAATGATTCATTTCATTGATTTCATTTGAAACTTCTGACTCGGATTACAGTGGATAGTGGAAAGTTATTCATTTTCCGAGTGTGTATTAACTCGAACTATGAGATTTTCGTATTTTTATAGAACATAGCCTATTGATGACAAAATTTCAAATGCTGAAAAGACATTACATTTGTAAAGCATTGATGGGAGATATAGGGATACACAAGTAGATGTTTACTTGAATAAGAAATAAATAAGGACATATGTAAGATGAAGGTTGCTCGGTACTGGATCAATTACTCACTTGGAAGGCCTGTATACGTTTTGGAGGTTGAGTAACTCGGCATTAACCAATAGAAAACAGAACTACGCTTCAGATTAATGAAGCACGTGTTTATGAAGAACGACTAAAATGCTCGACTGTGGAGCACAAATTACAAGTAAAATTGACGAAATAAATTTAGGAAGACAAGCATTCATTCCATGGGTCAGTCTTAAAATTTCGCCTGATAAACTTAGAAGTATTTACATAATTCTTCGAAAATTTACATTCATTATCAGTTGAACAGTTACTAAACTAGGCCGTATTTATTCATATTTGAATTGTTAGAATCCATTCATGTGCAGAAGGAAAAAAGTTCAGGTTTCTTTTGTGGTGATATGGATTCTTTGTCATACATTTCATTGAATCGACGTTCCATAAAAGCCATAGTAATTGTACAAAAGAGATGCTTTGAAAACATTTGTGATCAGAAATACCTTTAACTTTTTTATCTTTTTTCAGAATGTTAAACTTCATATGAAACGCACTAAGACTCATTTTCCAGGAAGAAAAAAACTTCAAACTCAGGAATAATTAATTAGACTTCACCAGACTTCAAAAGATAAAAATATACGAAATTATTATTTAGATAAACTCACCTATGAGGTGAAGAATAGTCGTAAGTCATTAAGCTAAAATAATCAACATAATCGGCCAATATTTTAAAATTTTCTTCTTTAAATCTTCCTTCTATGCCTCTAACAATTCCAGATTAATTAGGATAATGCATGCATTTACAAAATAAAAGATCTTACTCATAGTAAACAGGAGGTGGAATAACGAGTACAAAAAGCTTGCCACTTGAATGTAAATTATCAGAAAGTCGTACTATAAAATCTATTAGTGATTGTAATTCTACACCAGAGAACTGTGCCCATATTTCTATGACTGCACCATCAAAATTATATTTCTATGAAGGAAAAATTAGGAACAGAAGAAAATATATTCTTCAAAAACGATTAGTTTACAGGGTGAAAAGTCAAAAGGTTATTTGAAACTATCGCATCAAAATCAAAATAGGAGTGAGGTGGATGATTAGAGATGATAGTGAATGGCTGCCATAAATTGACTACAAAATATGAACCATGAACTGGAAAGTGGGGTCGTGGGTAACAGATGGTGATGAATCCGGGGTAAGAAGTAAATAGTTACTCAGAGCTATCGTGCTTATAACAAATTTTAAAAAACTGCTTTAAAACAAGAAATGAACACAAATTATCTCTCTAGCCTACTATCTATGATCTGTTTTATATCAATCTGAATTCTCTTAATATCGTACTTCAATAGCAAAAAAATAAGCTAGTCATGTTCAAAATGTTAATGCAAATACTATACAGTTAGTAAACTGTAAACCTACATCTGAGTATTGAGAATTCGCTCAAATAAACTTGCTAGCTTCCATTTTTCAAGATCATCTAATTGTCTCAGTGTTTTATTTATATTCTCTGTTAAATAGAATCCACAGAAACGGAAGATTCATACAGTTGAGTTTAATAAGTTGGATAAGAATTAAACCTGAAAGTCAGGTTTTAACTTCATTAGAACGACGTACATAAACTGTTTCGCCTAACGGTATATTTTGTGACTAATTTAAGGTCATTTTTTATTTCTTTGATATTGCATATATATGTGTGTTATTTTATTCAACGAAAGATTTATTCTGCTGGCTAGTGATTTTGATCAGTTTATTCGAGGTTTTAAGTGAATAATTCAGTTTCGCGAGCAATTATTCATCGACCATAAAGTATAACTGCATCTTTGATAGGTATAATATGTACACATTTCAACAATCCCCAAAGATCCTTTGTTATAAATCATAAAATCCCTCTCCATTAAAGCGGGGATAGGAATAAAAACAGATTGCTGGAATGTCGGTTCCACTGGATGAGTGGAATTCATTGTGCATTGACATGACAGAAGTTATTAAGATGCTTTAAAGTGAATCAACATTTGTAAACCACTTACCGATAAGTTCAAAATCAAATGCAATTCACAAATAATGTATTACATATGAAAATCTAAGTTCATGTAACAGTTCAGTGGTTACGAGCAATGATGAAACAAACTAGATAGATAGTCTTGAACAAAATTCCAACTCAAGTTCAGTCATAGCATTTCACTCAGAATTTCATGAGAATTCATCGATTTTAGGTACTGAGTCCTTGAATGCAGATACAATCTATTCAACTGAGTCTACAACGTATTCACTGGATGATTCACCACAGATTTATCAAAACCAGACGTTTTCAATTAGAGCGAAAAATTGCTTCAGGTGTTTATATTATTACCGACAAAACCATGTGAAAAACGTCTATCCTAGAGAGGTAAAAATTAGAATTGTTTTGCTCTTGGAAACCAGGCAATTATACGGTTGTGTTCCAAATTTTATGTCAATGGTGAAATTTAAAATTGCCAGGTCCAACTTTTGCATCACAATGAACATAAAACAGCAAGCAAATCTAAAACGCTGTAAAACTATGCTATTAATATGTTCGGTATTTGGAGAACCTATATTTAAGATTCTAGTGATCTCTTGTGAATGCATGGCAGTATTTAAGCATTAAACAGAAATTAGAAAAGTGGACAGCGTATCTACGACCTGACAAAAAACCAACATGTTTCTGTAGAGTCCGTTTTAAGCGATAATTGCTATTGAGATGGTGGAGAAGATTTGTAGCTCAGGTGGATGATTTTGGTGGAGTTTTGTTCTCTGAGCTGGATGGTTTGGTCGACCAAACCATCCAGCTCAGAGAACAAAACTCCACCAAGATAATTACTATTTGATTCGTTCAACGACAGTTTTAGTAAACCTTCATCAACTTATTTGTACGATCGATTTTCCTAGGTCACAAGAGAGGCCAAGGTAAGCCTGTTATATTTCAACTACCTATTTACTGTAGTTTAGACGTATAATCCACTATTTATACGAATGTGACAGTTTGATTAAAAGCATATCTGAATCCTAATCTTTATCTATTCTCCCATGGACAAACAGTAACTTTAGTCATGTATTGACTAGCACTCATAAAATACAGATAGATTCTTCACACATTCCCCAGTGTACTTGTGAATTTAGTTAGATACTAAGAACACACGCTTTCCAAACGTAACTGGTGTTTCAGTTTCTGAATATTTCTAAATGAATCCAATAGCGATACAAAAAGAATTAACCTGCTAAAAAATACACAGCTAACGTGTCATTAGATTTCGGAGTCAAATTTGGAAGAACAGTCTCTGCAAACTGGTAAGCCCTAGTTTGGACTTAACTCAACCTGGAGAACCACATCCACGAAGAACCTTCTGAACCCTATATATTCGGCCAACGAACTCAACAGAGCTGACTCAATCGACAAGAAACGCAGGTGACAATTTGGTGAGCCAAAAGAAAAGAACGCACATCATATTTTCAAAAGCAGTGCTAAACATTCTCAAGTCACACAGCAAATAACATCCTGTTGGGAATTACGCCATCCACAACACTTCATTCGAATTTTCAATAAACGCTATCATAAGATTTTCATTGTGGAATAATCGTACAATATTTTTTACATAAATTCTAAATGCCAGTCATTTTCGGTATCCATAAACTTATATTTTAATAGATCATTTATCACTTTAATTTCTTGCTCTCCTCTGTATCAGTTCACTAGATAATTCCGTGACCCTCTTATCTAAGTCTGTTTCCAAGGGTGCCTTTTCTGGCTCAACAGTAATCATTTTACGATCAACTGATGGTAAACTCATACTTCGATGATTGTCACATACATAAACTAGACTGGCCTTAATGATGTATATAATAATAGAGGAACATTTCCTATTTGTCATTACCACGCTGATCAAGTGAAAAATTAGCATTCGATGAAATGCATACAAATATTAGTGCGAGGAATGCTGACGGTATAATCACAGTGCGATGGAGAACAAATAATAACATAACTGAAGTTGTCTCACAGAGGAGATAAATTACAAGAATAATCACAAAACGAAAGGATAAATAGACATTACTATTACTCATAGTGAGCTTCTGAATGTCCTACTACCTTTTACTTAATTGTAACTGTCAATAAAGAGCTAGCATTTGTTATAGTCATAAAACTCGGTCATATGCAGCACTCATTAATGATACACAAGGCGAATACTATATATCGATAGGTCATAGGATCATATGTTATCCAATGAAATATGAACGCTACCGAAGAATCTGTTCATTAACAATAACAAAAATTCTTCCACTATTATGAAAACAAAATAATGCACACTGCATTCTGACAACAGAACAAGTCAAGCACAGCTTCCAGAGGGAAAAAGGAGCCAACCAATTATGAGCAAAAACTAACCTTTAAAATATTGATCACATTTCGAATACATTTATCTGTTTTAGGAACATCTTTTAAAGTTGAAGCATAATCTCGGTCTTCCCATGGACCGAAGGAAAATCGAGGTACTATCTTTACATCAGGATTCACAGTGCGAATTTCACTAAGCCATTCTGAGAAAATATAATAATCCAGAAAAGGTGCCAATCAAACCAGTGTTAATTTCAGGGATCCCAGTAACTGTATATGCCTTTTTTTCACCTTGGACTTCAAACCACACAGGAGCAATAAGGTTGAATTTAGCACCGAATATTTTTGCTACTTCGTATCCTAGTTTATTCCACTATATATCTGGTTTTTAACACAGAATAATGTCACTTACAGGCGTTACATATGCTAAAACAGTTGCATTCAAATTCTTTTGGGAAGTGGTGTACTTATTATATGATGAATGTGATTTCATAAACAAATCAATATCGATGCTTTCTGTGGGGACAGCATACGCCTGAGAAGTTTTTAGTTAATGAATACATAACTACCATTTCGTCATATTCCTCCAAAGAAACTGAATATGTGATATGTAATAGCGTTATCAAAATCACTTTAACAATACATAATATAAATCCAAGTGAGGTATATGATCGTAACCTATTTCCCTGAAATGAAAAAGGCAACAAAATGAAAAGATTCGAAAATGAACTGGCTATATAACTAGACACAAATACAGTTGTATTCGAAATCTATTGGGAAGTCAAGTAAAATCACTTTAGATTAGTGGATTAGGTAGTTCGGGTAAATTAATGATTTGGCACAAACATTTTTTACTTGTCACACACTACACAAGAAAAAGTGAATTGGAAGTATGGAAGAATGCTATCTTTAAAATGGGATAATAAAAATGATTGCAGCCATACTAGCTTGTGATAAGAATTGAGAAATCACGAAAAACCTCTAGTTGGTAAAATAACCTAATTCTGATTTCGGATGTGATAGCTATAAAGGACAATCGATGGCAAGTAGACTGAGAAATGCACCCTCAATTTAATATAAGCGTTTACTGGAATTCTCACTAAACGCAATCTTTGTGCTACCAGTCAGTCTATCTCACAAACTGTCCTTGGAATTTTTAAGCAACCTCAAGTCAAACATAGTCACCCCCTTAGATTGCTAGCACTGAGAATATACTAATATTGGAGGAAATTTAAACGAACCAGCAACGATCGATTTAATTACCCGTGTTCTATCAATAAGCTTAAACCATCACAAGACTTAAACATATGGTTACTTTCACTTTAGTATCTATGGTTCAAGGAATATTGTGTAGCCAACATTCTGCTTGTATTTTCTATAGAGGTCGTCCTATGGATGAAGTCACTATTCGAGAGACAACAGAAAGCCGGCTACTTTCATTATACTTAGGACCTGTAGTTCTAAAGAATCGATTATCTTTGGAACTTTATGAAAATTTTTATCGCCTATCGCTGTTAATTTACTTGTCTCACCTTAAGACACACCATGTTTGAGATTTATTTATTTATTTGGACACATGAATATTGGTACAAGAGAGCGCCAATATATATGCGCCACACAAAACAATGAAAATTCGAGAGGAATACAAATAAAGAAAAAAAAAGCTAAGGAGCACAAAAAAAGAGAACAATAACGAAGAGATTGGTGTAAGGTAATGTGCTAGTAATCAGGGAACGCAAAGGTACAATCGGAAGAATTCTTTCAGGTAAGGGAGTCACAACCACTTTTTATGAAGAAAGTAAAAGAAGGTTACAGCAGGATCGCCACTGGCTTCTATTCTGAGTCATATCTGATAACGTCTCTAGCCACTGTGTAGCACCAACCCCAACCAGGGAGTCGTGAAGGACCAACACAAGCTTTCTTTCATGCCACGACACCATGTCATGTACTGATCACCTCTCCGCTTCTTCCAACCAGTCCCAGAGTCGGCAAATAATGCACGACGTGGAATTCTCTGTGACAACATTCGGAGAACATGTTCAAGCCACCAAAGTCGGTGTTTGAAGATGGTAACACCAAGTGAATTATCATCTCTGTGCCCGAACACACGATGCCGAACCTCTGCATTACAAACATGGTGTTGCCACTGAATGTCAGCAATCCTTCTGAGACAGCGATGATCGAACACAGAGAGTCGTCTAACAGCCTCAACTCCGAGAGGCCAGGTTTCACAAGCATAGAGCAAAACTGCTCTCACCGACGCGTTGTAGATCCGAACTTTTACAGCCAGATTAACATCACGAAGGCGCCAAAGATGGCCCAGATTGGCATAAGCCGCTCTGGCTTTCACTATACGTCCATTGATCTCATCACTCACACTCCCACCAGCACTTATGCAGCTACCCAGATACACGAACTTCTCGACTACGTCTATCTGCTCACCATCCAGGGTGAGTACAGGATTGGAAACCTGCCAGTCTTGTAGAAGTACTTTGCACTTCGAAGGTGCAAAGCACATACCATACCTACGGACACTGATTGCCAACTGATTAAGTGCGGATTGCATGCCTTGGGCATTATCGCACAGTAAGACAATATCGTCCGCATACTCAAGGTCGAGAAGTCTTTCTCCAGGCAACAGATCCACACCACCATTACTTACATTTATCAGAGCTGTTTCCAGAATGTCATCGATGGCAAAGTTGAAGAGGAATGGTGAGATTGGGCAACCCTGCCTAACCCCACTGCTCGAATGGAACAATGAAGAGGAGTGGTTGTATGCCCTCACTCTGCCTGAGGTGTTTTTATATAGGGCTTTTAGGATGTTAATAAACTTCTCAGGCACACCCTTCTTCAATAGACAATCCCAGAGAACAGTCCTGTCCAACGCCATAAATGACGCAAGTTGACAAAAGCTAGTCGAGCCTTCTGTATCCGTGCTGAAATCTCGTCACACACCAGACCACAAGGGCTGATGAGACTTCCAAGATAAGTGAAGCGGTCGACACACTCCACTACTTCACTCCCTATCACTAGTTCGGGTGTCGATGTAACCCAATCCTGAAGCAACATTTTGCATTTCGAGGGAGAGAATCGCATCCCGAACATGCTTGCATTGTTGCTTAGAGTGGTCAGAAGACTGCATTTTGTCAGCGTCTTCGCCAAATAAAACTATTTCATCAACATATTCTAAGTCAACAAGTGAATCTCCTAGTAGAAGTTCAACCCCTGGAAATTTAGATGAGGAAAGTGTCATCTCTATAAGCACGTCAACGACAAGGTTAAACAAGAAAGGAGAGAGTGGACAGCCCTGACGAACACCACTTGAGGTAATCAATTCTGATGACAGTTCGCCATAAGCTCTCACTCTACCAGTTGTGTTCGAGTAGAGAGCCTGAATAAGGTTAATGTACTTCTTTGGTACTCCTTTCAGTGACAAACACTGCCATAGAACCTTACGATCAACAGAGTCGAATGCTGCCTTAAGGTCGAGAAATACTACCATTGTGGGGCGTCTGAATGTGTGTCTGTATTCTAGAACCTGACGTAGTGCGAATATCTGATCTATACAACCACGCCCAGGTCGAAGACCAGCCTGATTTTCTCTAGTCTGTTCTTCACGAGCTTCGGTTAGGCGTCGAAGTATTATTGAAGCTAATATTTTAAACACTATATTTGTCAAACTGATTCCTCTGTGATTGTCACAAGAGGACTTTTTTCCCTTCTTATAGACTGGCACAATCAGTGATTGAGACCAGTCAGATGGGATTACGTTCAGTTCCCAAATCCTACCTAAGACCTCAGGAATCGCCGCTAAGGTCATATACGTGGAAAATTAGGACCTCAGTACATTGTAGGCTTGTCGCAGTTTAATAAGCAGCACAGTGATCTGTCGAATAAGTCTACTTAGCCATGAAATACTACTTAATGTAACTGAGTTTTTTGTAAGTGATAGTTTCTCAAAGGAAGTCATCACATCCTAAAACTCGGTTTCCTACTGACAAAATTGGTAATATAATAATACCAATTATTTATTTATTTGAACACATAGATATTAACACAAGGAGGCACCAAATACATATGCGCCACACAAACCTCATTTGATTTGTGTGAGGGCTGTGATACTGCCCGGGTGCCCAAACCGAAGCAGGTGTTTTTCTCAGGGACATACACCCGGAACCTTCGACCTACAGGTCTGACCCATAAGACAGTGGAGCAACGTAAGGAGATACAGTCCCATGGTAGCCGGTCACCGATAATTGGTTCATACGCCATTTGTTCCTTCAGGATCCTGGAGCCAGCCCATGTACACCATTGGTTTGGATTCAGGGTTTTCCAACTCTCCTAGGAGGACTTTTCGTGTCCACCAACCCGGTTAAAGTGCCGGACATTCGCTTTTCGTCCTCTCAATTTTGTAAGCAACAGCCCCGCTACGAGAAAGCAGTGAGTAAGACTTCCCTGGCAGGAGCTATATATGCGTGGCCATGTGAGAGCATTTCGAGAGGGAGAGCAGACTCTCCCCACTCTCGGCCGTACCAGGGCATTTGGGGGCAATAATACCAAACATAAAGCCTGGGTTTATAAGACAAATTAGTGGAGAATAAGTAGGTTTAGACCTTACGCTAATCCTTCTGATTACTTTACCGAGGCGTTTCCTTTTAGCAGTATCGGCGCCTTTATATGTTCAGCAGTTAGCCACGAATTTGAGTAGATTTCTACGAGTTATACTTTGTAAGTGCATCTCAATCTCTACACGAAACTACGATGTTATCGTTTCACCCGTACGTACGTTTGTATTAAATTTAGTGATATTACGTTTCAAGAAGTGTACCAGTAGGAATAGTTCTAGATTAAACAGATTTACACAATGGCTGAACAATCGCAACATTTTCAGAGGGTGAGATTATTTTTCCATATAAATGTATAAATTTTGCCTTGGGACGGGTCTGCGTCAACACCTGAACTATTGGTAGGGAGTGAAGAAGCTGAGTGCGTCAACCACACAATTTATTTCGGAGGTTTTATTAGGTTTGAAGGGTTGTCAGACGAAATCTCTGTGCAGATTCATAAATCCCGGTTGGTGTTAGCCAACTTGTGTCATTTATGGCATAGGCAAGATGTCCACCTGCTAAACAAAATGTGTGTATGCTGCAAAGCAGTCTAATCTGTTCTACTTTATGGCTGTGAAGCATAGTCTATAAAAGTAGAGGACACGCATAGGCTGAATGTGACTGATCATAGGTGTCTTCGAAGTAATATTCGTGTTTTTCGAAACGACCGAGTGAGCAACGCTAGCGATAAGTATATGGTAATTCATAAATCGGTTGATGAGGTAGTAAATCTTCAATGACTAAGATAGATAGGATATATGTTACGCATGCCTAACCACAGCCTAGTGTAAAAACAGGTTAGAAGAAAGCTAAACAGACATCAAAAAGCGACATCAGTCTACGAAGTCATTGGCTGTTAGGTTGAGCCATGTCAAATGATGCAAACTATCTGACTGAGATCTACGTGATAAGCGAGATTAGTGGTTATAGATCGAATGACGTGAATTAACACATACAGCAGGCTGTAAGTTGATTATGTCTGTCTAACATATCGGATAACACTTTTAGATAAATTGTACTGAGGCCTATTTTTGTGCTTACAAGTGTCAGGGTTATCATACCCCCACTGATATAAT